ACCTTAGATTCCACATGTTTAAAATTCACAACCATTCATCCATTCTGGCCTATGCTATAAAATTACCCTATACGACCTACGGTATTTACTTCTTGTCTATTGATTTTTACCTGAAATAAGTTCTTATTTTACCTACTACATGAGAGTAAAAAAGTTGTAGGAGAAGAGTTCCAGAAGTTACCTATATAAAAAAATAACATACTTCCCCACAAAACCTCAATATTAAGGTCTAAACCTATCCTAAAGGATAAATAAAGTTTGGAGCATTTCTGATAAAAATAAAAAAAAAAAGAACTTATTTGAAATTATTGTGTTTATTGGGTTATATATATATATAATTTATTTATTATTTGTTTTTAATTTTATAAAGAATAAATAAATAATTAGAATTATAAATTTAAAATGATTAATTTTGGTGATGATGATGTATCTTAAAAAAAAATTAAATAGATGAAATGTGAATTGGAATTCATTTGAAATTGATACTATTAATTTAGTTAAATAGAGATGGGAGTTAAGTCATTATGAATAGTGTTTTCTTGTTTTTCTACCCCCCCCAGATGTTTGGTTTAATGGATTTAAATGGAGAATTAGTTTAGATGAGTATTAAGAGGAGAGTGGTTTGTGTGTGTATGGGGGTGGGGGGGGATGTGGAAAATTGATTATGAGAAATAGGATTGATTATGTAAAGAGTTGTCACTTTGGATGGGCTAGAAGGAGAGTGAATTTGTGTGGGGGGTGGAGGGTGGAAAACTGATTTGTGTGAAATGCCACTGTTGATATTTAGATAAGTATTAAAGAATGGGTGGGAGGAGGTATTGTTTATGATTTTGTGTGTATATAAAGTTGTGATTAGAAAATTGATGAGTGAGTATAAATATAAATAAATTGGTTAGTTTAAGGAAATATCTTTCTTCTGCTGGATTTAGTGTCCTCTGCTCCTTTTTGTATTGTAATCTTTAGAGTATGATTTTCTCAGAGGTCCTTAAACTCTGTTCTGAAAGAACATGTCTACACAGTATTTTAAAAAAAAAAAAGACACGTGCTAGTGAGTCTCGGAGCCAAGGTCAACTGACTTTGGTTTGCAGGCCTGACGCTGTGGGGTTAAAAATACTGTATAGATGTTCAGGCTTGGGCTGGAACCTGGGCTCTGATTCCCGGTGGGGAGGGAGAATCTCTAGGCACGTCTACACTGCAATTAGACACCCACGGCTAGCCCATGCCAGCTCACTGGGCTCGGGCTAAGGGGCTGCTTAATTGCGGAGTAGATATTCAGGCTTGGCTGCAGCCTGAGCTCTGAGACCCTCCCACCTTGAAGGGTCCTAGAGCCCAGGTTCCAGCAACGCGTCTACACTGTCATTTTCAGAGTGAGCCCAACCAGCTCAGTTGAAGTTCAGAATCGAACATCTGAAGGCGATCTGTAACCCAATCCTTGGTCTTTTGAATTACTACTATGTAACGTTTTATAAAGTTAATTATAAATCTTTATTGAAGAGAATTATTTTTATCCAGCAACTAATTTCCCCACCCATTTGCTTTAGGATCTGGTGGAAAATACAGTTGGTAAACAGTACAGGGACCTGTATCTTTAAAAAGCAAAGAGTGTAATTTTACTTTTTTCTAAAACAGTTTGCGTGGGAGTAGATGAAAAGCAGAATAATCTCGTTAGGTAGGAGCAGACTTTTAGAGGCTGGCTTTAAAGTGATGTATAAAAGGAAGGAACACTGAGCCCTTTTTGATTTATGTAAAAAGCCCTAAAAGGCTATGTGTGGTGTCCTTGAAATTCTTTTTAAGAAGCCATGCAATTCCAGGGCACAGACTGAGTAGATATTCAGAATTATAGACTGCACTCAAAACTGTCCATAGCCTTTTTCTTTGTATAATATCATTCAGTACAACACCAGAGGTACGAACTGACTGGTCAACCACACACCTCATTTGGAACTGGAAGTACACAGTCAGGCAGGGGAAACACACACACACACACACACACACACACACACACACACACACACACACACACACACACACACACACACACACACACACACACACACACACACACACACACACACACACACACACACACACACACACACACACACACACACACACCCCCCAAATACTGTACAGAACAGTACTGTGTTAAACGTAAACTACCAGGAAAAAAAAAAGGGGTGGGAGGAGTTAAAACAAAACAAAAGAACAACCCTAAAGTTTGGTCAGAGTTACAAATATTTCAGAGTTGCGAACAACGTCCATTCCCGAGGTGTCCGTAACTCTGAGGTTTTGCTGTACAACATCAGTATAATCCAGAGATACAGTTCATTTGATCTTGCTGTCCAAGTCCTGTGCTTTTCTTCGTCCAGGCTTCCAGCTGTACTGATTTTACTAAGAATCCGTCAACTTTCTTTTCTAGAGAGGTGATAGCAGTGCAGAAAGTAACTTGTCTAGTGTTTTTATTCATCATTCCTTGGGCAGAAAATTCCTCTGAGTCAGTGTCAGTGGGTGCACCTAACTGCATAGTGCTGTGGGAGGCCCTGGGTTGATTACCACTGACAGTATTACTTGTATGGAGCATGGATGGCATCTCCACATTCAGTGTCCTGCAGATTTTATGTAGTTGCTTTGTATTGCACAATGGAAGAAAATGTAAGCCCTTATGATGATTGAGTAAGCAAGAACTCCAGTTTGTTCTTGCATCAGCTTCCTGCTCAGGCTCCATCCCATAAAAGATTCTCCCCATTCCTCCATTTTTTTCTGCTAGTTTTTTTTTAATCTTGGAAATAGCTAAATCAGGTCTTCATTTTCCTGGATTTTTAGGAGGACTCTACAGAGGACTGACATGCGCTTTCTCAGCACTCAGGGAAGTGGGGGAGCAGGGGCACTGAATCTTTTGCAATGAAAGCTTTTCTCCCAAGTGTTTAGCAAGAGTTTGAGTTAAACAGACGTTAAGAAGAAAAACCCAAACAAAAAACAATCTAAAAATCTGTAGCCGCATTTCCTGTCTTGTGATGTCATTCTGCTGGTTCTCCAGTCCTCCAGCAAAAACAGGGAGGTCTAGACCTGATGTTTCTCATGTGAAAAACTGGGGTTTTTAAAAATAATGTTTCACACCTTCCTTTTATTGAAGATAAAAAGCATAAAAGGGAACAATCCTACAATTAAAAATATAAGCCTAGCTTCAGAATTTCTCCCCTCCTTTAAGATATGCAGGCAGGTCTCTGTCTTCCCTATCTATTACACCTTGGTTCCAGAAGGGTAAAAGTTCTCCACACATCTTGAAGGTCTTTTGGTCACTATTGCTTTCCCATCCACTGCCCCTGTAGCTCTTAGGATCTAGCCACATCTGGAATAGTGGAAGTAGCAGATTAGTCTGTTTCTGCAGACTGTGCGAATCCATAGATTGCCATGGCAGCAAATATGCTAAGTGGAGGTTGTGACCTTAAGCTCCCTGAATTCACACCCTAGACTTTATTGTAGTAATATTTGCGCAAAATATGCCTTGTGAGGTATCATTTAAAAACTAACAACACACTGTTTGTTAAAATTCTTGTGTAATGTATGTATGAATAGTGTATTGAGTTATGAACACAAGCTGAAATTATGACTAAAATGTATTTGCAAGACAAGTCCGAGGAGGGGTAAACCTGTTTTTCAAAGACACAGGACAAGCAGATGCCTCTAGCCAGGTGTCATCAAAGTTGATTGGCCATCACCCGTTAAGTGGCCATTCTTTTGCAAAGAAGGGGGCAGGAAGAGATTGATTTGCATTTTAGCAAACAACAAAATGGAACCTCTTTCACCCAAGACTCCAAGGCTCCTTTTTCACAGCTGGAATGAACTTTATCCCAGGGTAACCCTCAGGAAAATACATTTCATCTCTCTCTTTCTCCTAAGAAAAGGAACCAACCCTTTGATTCTTGGGGGAGATTCTAATCTGGGAATTTAGTTAGCTATATTGGAATGTGTGGTAAGGTTTTACCTTGAACCAAGTCTAGCTTGTTAAGTTTTAGCTACTAGGAAACGTTTTATCTTTATTTTTCTTACAACCATTTCTGACTTTAATGCCTTATACCTGTACTCACTTGAAACCTATTTCTTTGTAGTTAAAGAAACTTGTTTTATTTTTAATCTAAACAAATTCGGTGTTGTTTAAACCAAACTGTTTGCTACTTTAACTGGAGTTACCAAACCTTTGAACGTTGACCCTTTACAGACCTTTAATATCTAAACTTCCCAGGAGAGAGCTGGATGGTGCAGAACACACACTTCTTGGGAAAACTGAGGACTTGGAGTGTATTGGTTGGTGTCACCCTGCAGGGTGTCACCCTGTAATTAAGACTGGTGGAAGCCAGAGTGGGCTGGAGTGTTGCTGACAGGCTGCTGGAGTCAGAGTTGTTGGACCAGGGCTGCAGCTACATACAGACACTCGGAGTGACCTGCGTTCTGGCAGGCTGTTTGTGAGTGGCCCAAGTTGGGAGCTACAATAGCAAAGCATTGTGCGGCATGCAGGTTTGCAGTGCAGGTGGTAACAAAATCTCTCACTGATCAGGAATGCACCCCAGAATGTTACAGAGGGCAGCATAGATTAATAGACCTGCCAAAAGGCCTTTTCTCAACCTCTTTGGAGAGCTGGAGTATCAATTTGACCTTAATTCTGAAACCTGGCTTTCTCCGTAGCATTACAGAATCAGTAAACCAGCAGATTCATCTACTTGATGGTGAACTACACTGTGGGGATTTCTCATTTCTCCTACCCCCTTCCTAGGCAAATGAAGTTGACCCTGTGAATGCTGTTGGCCATGCTGACCTCTTACATCCCCGACTGGCCAATCCATGGAGTATAGGAGCACATCTTTCTCTTGTGGCCAGAGAATTAGGATGGTGTGTGTCAAAGGAAAAAGTGGTGTAATGTCATTAGGAAGAATTGAGGCAGGTGGACAGTGGTACAAGAGGGAACAAATAGTATACTCATTTCTCTAATGCTTTTTTAATAGGGTCACCCTGCTCCATATAAAACAGTTTCAGCCCGAGCAGGAACACCATCCACTATATTGCGACTTCCAGCCAGTGTTTTTCAGGATGTTTTCCAGAAGTACCCTGAAACTCTTGTCAGAGTGGTACAGGTAAGACTGATATGTAGTTTGTTTTTATTAAATGTAGTATCCATCTTTCCTTTAAAAGTGTTTTCCCTATCCAGTCAGCTAGTCCATCCTTCTGCTGGTGCAGAATTGTTCTCCCTAGCATATTCTCAGGGTTTTGTCCAATATTTAAGTGTCCCAAGTGAGGGGGCTGCCACCACATATCTAAGGAGATTATCGCACCTTCTGATTGATCTTTACATTAGGCGGAGATGAGGGAAATATAAATGTGTCTCGTCTTAATTTAATCACATTATACCCTCCCTTGGACCAACGTACCGAAGTTTCCTTCCTCCTTGAGACCAGATTCTGCCTTCAGAAATATGGAGCTCCTGTTACTGTCCATGGGGGCTGCCTCTGCCCATCAAAGAGCAGAATTTGGCCCTAGATATTTACTGATCAGACATCTGCAAACTCTGAACTGCTGTAGCAGTGGGTACTTGAAATAAGTTCTAATCTTTGCTCTTGAATAATGCTAACCTTGAATAACCTCGAATAATGCTACCACTTAACTAATCTGTGTAATTGTGACACCTTTATTGGACTCTTAAGAATGATATGAGTAACTTTCCCCTGGAAAAAGAAAAGGAGTACTTGTGGCACCTTAGAGACTAACCAATTTATTTGAGCATGAGCTTTCGTGAGCTACAGCTCACTTCATCTGATGTGAGCTGTAGCTCACGAAAGCTCATGCTCAAATAAATTGGTTAGTCTCTAAGGTGCCACAAGTACTCCTTTTCTTTTTGCGAATACAGACTAACACGGCTGTTCCTCTGAAACCTTTCCCCTGGAAAGAATGCCTTGAAATATGTGCTGGGCAAAGAACGGCAGAGGCAAATCTAATGGCAATTCGACATTGGTGAGGCCTCATCTGGACTGCTGTGTCCAGTTTTGGGCCCCACACTACAAGAAGGATATGGAAAAATTGGAAAGCGTCCAGCGGAGGGCAACAAAAATGATTAGGGGACTGGAACACATGAGCTATGAGGAGAGGCTGAGGGAACCGGGATTGTTTAGTCTGCGGAAGAGAAGAATGAGGGGGGATTTGATAGCTGCTTTCAACTACCTGAAAGGGGGTTCCAAAGAGGATGGCTCTAGACTGTTCTCAGTGGTAGAAGAGGACAGAACAAGGAGTAATGGTCTCAAGTTGCAGTGTGGGAGGTTTAGGTTGGATATTAGGAAAAACGTTTTCACTAGGAGGGTGGTGAAGCACTGGAATGGGTTACCTAGGGAGGTGGTGGAATCTCCTTCCTTTGAGGTTTTTAAGGTCAGGCTTGACAAAGCCCTGGCTGGGATGATTTAGTTGGGGATTGGTCCTGCTTTGAGCAGGGGGTTGGACTAGATGACCTCCTGAAGTCCCTTCCTACCCTGATAGTCTATGAAGATAGCTTATTGGTGCCCCTCTGTAAGTTTCCAGTGTCTCTAGTTCAAGACATAGCCTCTTCCCTTGGGACTGGTCATAAGTCATTCCCTCGCCAACCCCCAATACTCTGTCCTTTTTAAAAAATGGGGGCTTAGAATCTGAGCATCTGGGTGCTCAGCACTTCTGAAAATCAGTTTGCTTTTTTCATTGGTATAGACATAGATCAGCCTCTTGGTGTAATAAGCAACCTTATCCATATGCCAGACAAGATGCTGGGAGATAGGGAGAGGTGGGGAAGGAAAGAGGAGTCTAGTTAAAGACAAAGGGGAGATGCCAAATGAGAACTGGTTGCGTGTAGATTTTGGATCATATGCTCTTACGAAGGGTGTTTGACATCAAGATGTCATAATCAATATTATAAATATCATCATTACTTGTTGATTGTCAACAGTGTATAGGCCCTTTATAGTTCTTGCAAGAGCCTCCAAAATTTGGACTCCAGCCCCAACTTGCCCCTTGAGATTGTAATTTTATTAAAACAAAACAAAAACACCCCCTCCCCCCAAAACCAACCCAAGGCTCTGTCGCCCAGGGATTAGAGCACTGTTTTCTTAAATTAGGATGTTGAGTTCCAATCTTTCCAGGATCTTGGGAAAGTTGTCTTCCATGGAAATACTCTCCTTCTTTACTGTTGGAGGAAAAATGCCCACTTCCTCGTAACAAGGAAAAGCAGACTTCAGGCACCAGCCCTCTCTTCTTTTTGAGCCATTTGATGTTTATTGTTATCCTCTGTGTATAACGACCCTCACATGGTGTCTGTGGTTTCAGGTGCATATTTTTGTTGGGGAGGTTTGTTTTTTAGTGTCTGTCTTGGGTGTTGCACCTAGAGCTCAGGGGAAGCCAAGCAGGGAAAACTGAAATAAATGCATATATTTCAATTATTAAATGTTCTCAATGATTTCAGTAACCTTACCAGCGAGGCTGGTGTCTTGTGCATGGAGCTGAAGTTTGGGTGTCAGCAGTCCTTTGGGTGGTGTCTCTGGCTCAGCTATCTATTGTGTTTCTTGGTGAGAGACCCAAGCTTTCATAGAATCATAGAATATCAGGGTTGAAAGGGACCTCAGGAGGTCATCTAGTCCAACCCCCTGCTCAAAGCAGGACCAATCCCCAATTAAATCATCCCAGCCAGGGCTTTGTCAAGCCTGACCTTAAAAACTTCTAAGGAAGGAGATTCTACCACCTCCCTAGGTAAAAGGGAGCCACACAGTGCTCTTCTTCAGCTGTGGGGAAAGATATTTTCAGCATCACAGCAAAATGCAAAGTGGAACAGAATGTTTAGCATAAGTAGTTAGCACAAATTGTAAGGGACTATTCAAGGTAGAGTGGTCTGTTAACACTTCTGCAGTCATAGGACAAAAAGAGTGGGTTAGTGGGTGTTGGTGTATTTGGTATTCACCTGCTCCCTGTGTTTGATCTCCTGCTCCTAGATCATCATGGTGAGGCTCCAGAGAGTGACATTCTTGGCTTTGCACAACTATCTTGGCCTGACCACTGAGCTCTTCAATTCCGTAAGTATAGAATGAAAGCAATATACTCTTGTATCGGGGGTAGCCATGTTAGTCTGTATCCACAAAAACAACAAGGAGTCCGGGGCACCTTAAAGAGTATTTGGGCATAAGCTTTCATGGGTAAAAAACTCACAACTCTTATCACACTGTATGTATTTGGCTCGTCACACTGTATGTATCTGATTCTGACCCTGGCTGTTGGAGTGTCTTCTACTCCAGTAGCTCGCAAGCATAATCTCCATATAAAGCTAACATTAGTTTATTGTTTGCAAGAATATTAATACTATCGTGCTTGAGAGTGAAGCTCTCAAGATATAAAATCTGCTCAGTGCTGAAACCTCCTGAATTACATTTCATTTGGGCATTTTTATTATGGAGGTTGTCATGGCTGCCAGGCTAGCTGCACCTCTGTCCCCTTTCTGGTCCCTCTGAGTGTACCCCCTCAGGTGTAGGGTCTTGTGCCTTTACCTGTTGTCATGCTCTTCTCCACTGCTCCCAAAACCGTAAGCCAATGTGCAGGTCCCTAACAAATTCACTGTCCATTTTGGTCAATTTCACGGTCATAGGATTTTAAAAATAATAAATTTCATGATTTCAGATATTTCAATCTGAAATTTCACAGTGTTGTAACTGGTGGGGTCCTGAACCAAAGGGGGATTGTGGGGGGGTCACAAGGTTATTGTAGGGGGTTGTGGTATTGCCTCCCTTACTTCTGCGCTGCCTTCAGAGCTGGGTGCCTGGCCAGCAGCTGCCACTCTCTGGCCAACTTTCTGTTCTGAAAGCAGCACAGAAGTAAGGGTGGCAAAACAGCGATCCCCCTACAATAACCTTGCAACATTCCCCCTCCACAGCCCTGTTTTGATTCGTGACTCCCAGCTTGAGAAACGGTGGTCTCCCCTGAGAAAACTGTATAGTACAGGGAAAAAGTATACCAGATTTTACAGGGAAGACCAGATTTCATCATCCGTGACGGGTTTTTCATGGCTGTGAATTTGATAGGGCCCTACCATTGTGTTACCCCCCTGCCTCAGGGAGAGAGAGCTTTGCTGGACCTTCAGCTGAGTGTCAGCTCCCTGCTGCACCACTGTCTGCGTCCCCAGCAAATTCCTCAAGACTCTGTCTGTCTTAACCTGGTCTTGCAGGTAACATTCAGCGAGACCCAGTTCCCCAGACATGCCTCTCTGCAGTGTCCAGTCCCTCTCACTGGACACTCGCAGGAATTATGAAGCCTGCTGTCTCCAAAGTAACAGTGCACACACACACACCACCTTGTTGACTCACTGTGGGCACACTCTAACTTAATACACAGCACTGAGGTCATTTATAGTAAAACTAAGCATACGTTTATTAATAAAGAACAGAGATTTAAGTGATACTAAGCAAGAGAAAAAGACAGATATGATTACAAACAAAATAAAAGGAAAAATGTGAACTGTTAAGCTTTTAGACATCAGAAAGCACAATCTGGTCTCAGGCAGTTTCTCACCTACAATCAGCTCTCCGCGACTTCAGCTCACATGGTTGAAGGATTCATCTCGTATGGATTCCAAGAGCACAGGCCTCTTTTGTTCAATTTAAGTTATGATTAGCGAAGAGGTTCTCTCCCCTTCTTTTTATAGTCCAGTAAACCTTTGAGGTGTATTCTTCTGAAGGGTATCCCCAGATAAAGTTTTTTTCCTCAACTACTTGTGCCCCAAGAAGCTGACACCATCCTGTCTTCCTTGCCCTCCTCTTAGTTCGCTTTTCCTGTGGACTCAGATGCAAATGAACTTGCACTGTCTCTGGTGTCACCTTGCACAATTTACAGTGGAGAAACAGGCAAAACAACATTCCCTTGTCTAGGATAAACTTGTTTATCAGCTGCTTCCACAGCATATTTTAAGAACAGCTTACCGCCGTACATACATAACTCTTTATACGCAACCTGTGCATACATCACACAATGATATCCATGACCAGTGTGTCATCAGTTTTTGTATGACACCTTGCAAGATGCTGTCTGGCTAAATATTCTGACAACAGCATGTTGCGTTTGCCTTTTGCTAGCTGGCACAAAGTGGCTCTTAGGATCACACCTGTAATGGGGGGTGTATCAGTGTTCCCTCCCCACTCTGAACTCTGGGGTACAGATGTGGGGACCCACATGAAAGACCCCCTAAGCTTATTTCTACCAGCTTAGGTTAAAAACTTCCCCTAGGCACAAATTCCTTTCCTTGTCCTTGGACGGTATTGCTGCCACCACCAAGTGATTTAAACAAACATTCAGGGAAAGACCACTTGGAGCCCTATTCCCCCCAAAATATCCCCCCAAGCCCCTTTCCTGGGGAGGCTTGAGAATAATATACCAACCAAATAGGTTAACAAGGTGAGTACAGACCAGACCCTTAGGTATTTAGGACACTAAAAACCAATCAGGTTCTTAAAAGAAGAAATTTATTATAAAGAAAAAAAGTAAAAGAAGCACCTCTGTAAAATCAGGATGGAAGGTAATTTTATAGGGTAATGAAAAGATTTAAAACACAGAAGATCCCCCTCTAGGCTCAATTTCAAAGTTACAAAAAGCAGGAATAAAGCATAGGGAAAATTCACATGCTAAAACAAAAGATAATCTAATGCATTTCCTTGCTATTACTTCCAATTTCTGTAATTTTAGATGTATCATTTCAGTAGGAGTTGGATTACCTGCTTTGTCTCTCTCTTTGTCTCCAGAGGGAACGCGCAGAGAGCACTAACAAAACCTCCTCCTCTCTTCCCCCCCCCACTCAATTTGAAAGTATCTTCTTTCCCCATTGGTCCTTCTAGTCAGGTGCCAACTATGTTAATTGAACTGATTCACTTACGTGTAACGTGTTATTCTGTACCTCTGGCCAAGAGGGATTTTATATTACTGCATACGTAAAGGTTGTTTCCCTTCCCTTTGTATTTATAACACCCCCCTCAAATCACAGATGGTGCTGGACAGCCTATTCCACATTGGCTCTGATTTCTTCCTGGAGCTCTAGGAGAAAACAGAGTTAATAAGACACATGCACCTTTAGATATCATTAGTTTTTATATAATCAGTAGTATATTTCCCACATTTTATAGGCGATTTTAACCAGTTGATTCTGGGAAACTTTCACGGGAGAGTGCATCAGCCACTTTGTTAGAAGCTCCTGAAATGTGTTGTATTTCAAAATCAAAATCTTGGAGAGCTAAACTCCACCGAAGAAGTTTTTTGTTATTTTCGTTGATGGTATGAAGTCACTTGAGCGCAACATGGTCTGTTTGCAGGTGGAAACACCATCCCCAAACACATGGGCTTAGTTTTTCCAGAGCGTACACAATGGTGTAACATTCCTCCTTCTTTGAGAGATGTCCCTGTGGGTGCTCCACTTCAGGTCAAGGTGCGTTCCAGCGCCTTCGATTGGAGATTTCTACAGCAGTACCCCTACGGGGTGTGCACGCTCTGTGCCTGCCTCTCGAGCTGTCAGTGTTTTAATAGCGCATGCACAGCCCAGGCTTCTCAGTCCCTTCTCTACCTTCCCCAGCTAGAGACCGCGTTCAGTAGTGCTCTTCGAGACTAGCTCATTAGCTTGTTTCTCAGTTTAGTTAGATCGTTTCAGTCATTAGAATTACTACTTAGATAAAAAAAAAGGAGTACTTGTGGCACCTTAGAGACTAACCAATTTATTTGAGCATGAGCTTTCGTGAGCTACAGCTCACTTCATCGGATGCATACTGTGGAAAGTGTAGAAGATTTTTATACACACAAAGAGTGAAAAAATACCTTCCCCCACCCCACTCTCCTGATGGTAATAGCTTATCTAAAGTGATCACCCTCCTTACAATGTGTATGATAATCAAGGTGGGCCATTTTCAGCACAAAGCCAGCATTTAACAAGAACGTCTGAGGAGGGGAGGGGGTAGGAAAAAACAAGGGGAAATAGGTTACCTTGCATAATGACTTAGCCACTCCCAGTCTCTATTCAAGCCTAAGTTAATTGTATCCAATTTGCAAATGAATTCCAATTCAACAGTCTCTCACTGGAGTCTGGATATGAAGTTTTTTTGTTGTAATATCGCAACTTTCATGTCTGTAATCGCGTGACCAGAGAGATTGAAGTGTTCTCCGACTGGTTTATGAATGTTATAATTCTTGACATCTGATTTGTGTCCATTTATTCTTTTACATAGACACTGTCCAGTTTGACCAATGTACATGGCAGAGGGGCATTGCTGGCACATGATAGCATATATCACATTGGTGGATGTGCAGGTGAACGAGCCTCTGATAGTGTGGCTGATGTTATTAGGCCCTGTGATGGTGTCCCCTGAATAGATATGTGGGCACAGTTGGCAACGGGCTTTGTTGCAAGGATAGGTTCCTGGGTTAGTGGTTCTGTTGTGTGGTATGTGGTTGCTGGTGAGTATTTGCTTCAGGTTGGGGGGCTGTCTGTAGGCAAGGACTGGCCTGTCTCCCAAGATTTGTGAGAGTGTTGGCTCATCCTTCAGGATAGGTTGTAGATCCTTAATAATGCGTTGGAGGGGTTTTAGTTGGGGGCTGAAGGTGATGGCTAGTGGTGTTCTGTTATTTTCTTTGTTAGGCCTGTCCTGTAGTAGGTGACTTCGGGGAACTCTTCTGGCTCTATCAATTTGTTTCTTCACTTCCACAGGTGGGTACTGTAGTTGTAAGAATGCTTGATAGAGATCTTGTAGGTGTTTGTCTCTGTCTGAGACAGACACACACAAAGATGGACTACAAGCCCTCAAGAACACTATCCCCGATAATGTCACGGCCAACCTGGTGGCTGAACTTTGTGACTTTGTCCTTACCCATAACTATTTTACATTTGGGGACAATGTATACCTTCAGATCAGCGGCACTGCTATGGGTACCCGCATGGCCCCACAGTATGCCAACATTTTTATGGCTGACTTAGAACAACGCTTCCTCAGCTCTCGTCCCCTAACGCCCCTACTTTACTTGCGCTATATTGATGACATCTTCATCATCTGGA